AATATGATAAAAATAATAAATATATTTAAATGTATAATGTTATGAGATTTAAGCTATTTAGTCTAAATATTTATGTTTTTGTGTTAGTTTGTTGTCATTCTAGAAGGAAAGTGGCATAATTTATATTCCAAATGTTTTATGGTGGTTACAAGATCAGTCAAATCTGAACCTGTACAGATAATCATTAGTGAAAATAACCAATAAAATATAAAGTTTTTTTTTATTAAGAATCATTTGAAAATGTATAAAGTTATGTATAAATATATAAAGTTATGAGATTTAAGCTATTTCGTCTAAATATTTATGTTTTTGTGTTAGTTTGTTGTCATTCTAGAAGGAAAGTGGCATAATTTATATTCCAAATGTTTTATGGTGGTTACAAGATCAGTCAAATCTGAACCTGTACAGATAATCATTAGTGAAAATAACCAATAAAATATAAAGTTTTTTTTTATTAAGAATCATTTGAAAATGTATAAAGTTATGTATAAATATATAAAGTTATGAGATTTAAGCTATTTCGTCTAAATATTTATGTTTTCATGTTATTATTTGTTGTCATTCTAGAATGAAAGAAGCATAATTTATATTTATTTCCTAATTTTTTATTGTGGTTACGAGATCAGTCAAATCTGTCGAACCCGTACAGAGATTCGTTACTGAAAATAACAGATAAATATAATGTCCAGATAGTTATCAAATGTTTCTTAAGAAAAAACCTATAAAGATTTTGCATTTGTGAAATTTGAAAATTTTCGAATGCATAAAAGTATTTTTAATCTTGAAATTAATATTACTTTGCATGATAGATAGGCAACATGCAATAAGAAAAAAAAAGATACAAGAAAAACATTGCTTTATAAATCTTAATAAACAAATCTGATATTTTGCATATGAAAGCATTGTAATGTTTACTGCTAATGTGCCAAATTTCGTTACATTCGCTTACTAATTTAAAAGTTATAGCATGAAAAGTATAATAAGCATAAAATGGTTACGAGGTCAGTCCTAGGGACTGAGCCCGTGTTGAAAGAATTAATCAGGAAACTTAAGATGTTTGACCAGGAACATTTATAAATTTTGAACATAACAAACCATTCAACTTCAGTGAATTCACATCAGACATTAGTACTTTTAGGAAAACATTACCTAATGCCATCGGCATGTTATCAGTGAAAACCACAGAGCTAGCTAGCTCCTTATTAAGTGAATTGTACCTAGAAAGATGACTGTATTGCTTGCAAGTTTGTGGAACTTTTGTATATATATGTCATTGTTTGTAATAATTATTTGTGATAACTGTTATTGTAAATTGTATTGAAGTTTGTATATCAAAACGTATTTGTGTTAAAAACGAAGACAGTGTGTATCAATCTTGTTGGCAAATATCATAAATTGGATATATATTGGCATTTATTTAACTACTAAATCCAAAGTACAATTTAACTCAGTTTTAGGCTATTTGAAATTGTTATACGTAACAACATCTATCAATTAGATCTATACTAAAGCACAGTACCTCTTCAAATCATTACATATATATGCATCTCAGTTATATTAATAAACTTTCTACAGATACATAAAGAGGTCTGAGTACATTATATTAGAATGACTTTTGAACCTCACTACCCTGTTATAGTACATGTTGCCAAATACAGTCATCCTCTATATGATGATCATGCATCTTGACAACAGCCTGTTATGTTTCATGTCAAAAACATGATGGTTCAATCACACAGAAGTCCATAAGCACTCATTAAGCAACTTTATCTGTATGTATTCATACAGAATAGCATGAATACAGGTTTCATTTTCCAGCTGCTTGAGGTATGTAATGGTTGAACACAAGATATGATTAGAAGCCTTATCTTTATGTACCCATGCCCTGTTGGCCTTGTTCCAGGTGGAGATCCTTCTTTATTATGTTGCATGTTGTTTGCCTGGGATGGTGGACAGTTTTAGCCACTGATCTTTCTGTTTGTGGATTCTCACTTGTTACAAAATGACACACTTTGTTTACCATGGGCTAGGGTAATATCTGTTGCAGGTGGTTTTTTTTCAGAATGGTCACAGTGCTACAAACTGGTCCATATTCCTTTGTATTTCAATGACATTATGTACAAGGAATAATCCATCCTGGAAACTCTAAACCCCAATCTGAGTGTATGAGTATTTTGTGTGGGAAAGGGATGTTAAACTGTTAAATCCCCTTCTCAAAAATGATAATTTTTTGATGGCATCACACTACCTACAAAATGCAAACAATGCCAAAATGCAGTTCTGATACATTCTGATGCACTATGACTATGCCACCTGAGGTTTGCACTTGACTTACTGACCTGCTTATTCAAAATCATTTTAATATAGTGTACTCAGCCCTGTATTTCAATAAAAAGCACATACACGAATCCTAGATATTTTGGTTGTTAATGTAGCATTTTAAATTAAGAATGTTGTCTTTATATTTTGCTATTTACAAAAGCTATTACATCTTAATTTTGTTTTCTATACATATTGTACAGTTCTAATTAAACATCACAAATACCTACAGGTACAGCCTTTATTAAGATCTGTTGGGGTTCCACTAAAGCCTGGTAAGCAATGACATTCAGGTTTGTGATCTTTACCAACACATTCTGCATTAGGACCACATCTAGTTCTCTCACATACATCTGGATAAAAATAAAGACTGTTTTAGAGTGAAGTTATCTTGTAAAGTTAGACCCTACAAAAAAATCTATTCATTGAAACAGTTATATAAGGAAAGGCTGCTATTTTTGAAGTTATTAACATATTGAAAACATATTATGCTAAATGCAATAAATTAAAAGAATAACAGCAGATAAAAGCAACAAAATTATTTATTATTTCTGTTTTGTGTTGTATTTTCTCATTTCTATTACTCAGTACATCTACAATTTTATGATACACTCTAGAATATCATTTAACTGATGCTTAGTTCTAAATATTCCTGTAAGATCCAATCATATTCTATAAGAGTTGATGTACATTCTAGTTTGCTTCCACTATGGTATTCTAGGACTCAGAACAAAATAAGCACAAATTCATATAATCATAACAACAACAAGAAGCTTGTGGGAGTAGTATGTGGATGGACAACTGCTGTGGTTTATCGACAATTGAATTAAAGAGACATGAACTTGATGTGAAGAAAAATACAAAATAAACAAGAATAAAGTGAAAAAATAAAATGGTTAGTTATGATATGGCAGGAACTGGCAGAGAAAAAAACAACCTATCAACTTTTTTTTAAGCTCCCTGCAATGAAGTAAATGTTTAGCTAAAAATGTCAAGGTTCATTATGTATAGAAGTGAACCCGTTACCACCAAACTAAATACTCTGTATACAGTATAGTTTCATTCATCTGTACCTCTTGCTAGTAGGCAAATTTGGTGGATAAATTGAGCTAGTTTTATTTCACTTGAGAATTACTAACTAAAAATTCTGATAACATACCAAATATTCTCTTTCATGTGACACCTAAATGTATTATTATATATATATAATTTGCTACGTATACAACATAATGCCATTTATTCCTATTAGCTGTATCATAAATATAACAACATTAAGAATAAACCATACCAAAACAGTTTTTGACTCCATTTTTATCAGGTTTGCATAACTGGTTAGCTGGGCAGCTGTTATCATCTTCACAAATGTCAGGTGCTGTAATACGTAAAACAATATTACATTTTGTTTTAAGTGATCATGAGTTTTCAGTTATTAATCACACTAATCAATCTAACTGAAGTAAAATACTATTTCAAAATTTTGTATAAAATCGTGATAATTCATTAAAAATTAAAATACCTCTATATTTTTTTTACTGGACATATGTAGTGGATGATTTGATTTTAATCAAAGATATATACAGATCAAGTAACTGTAAATATTCTGACAAATGTATACTACTCTTCTGTGGCCTATATTTACTATATTACAAATATTGTTACTTCTATGTAGTAAAACCATGCAATTTTTGTTTTCAAAAATGTTTTAATAAACATTATCAGAATAATACAACTTTCTTACGCTGACATCCTATTTTTGAGTCTTTAGGATTTCCAAAAAACCCAGGTAAGCATTCACAAGCTGGAGGATATCCATTCTTGTTGCACAAAGCATTGGGTCCACAATGAGCATCCTTACAGATATCTGTGAGAAATTTTAAAATATAAATATTATACATTATCTACCTTCCCACCTATCACTTTCAACAAGTAGACTTATATCCATTATGGGTAAAGGCTGACAAAGAAAATGCTAGGGTGATTTTATGCTTTACTATATTTTTTAATATGACTTATAAGCCTTTATGTTTCTATGTTATTGTTTTTTTATTATCATGAACATAGTTTTTTATCTATTAACTAAAGGAAGAAAATATCAATAATAATTTAAGTACTTCCTTGTGTTCTGAGCAGCTGTCTTTCTTAGAAGTATAATTATAATTTTTTTCGTTCAGTAAAGAATAATATACATGCAATTCACAAATATTTGTTTTTGCTTTTTTAATGACTACAATTATTGTGATTTTCTTTCTTACCTCTACTGTCAGTTTCTCACTTTAATTCACTAATCATAAATGTTATTAACGTTTTGAAATATTTTAAGTGTCATTATTTTCATTCATTTATTCGAATATTCTCTTGTCAGTTCAAGTCAATTAATTTCTATTGCACATAACAACATTATCATAATACCTCACATTTTTGTTGTACTGATGTTATGTAACAACACTTTGTTTGACTGTTGCTTTTATACCTCTGATGAATGATTACATCAATTCCAAACATTCAAGGTAAATAAAATGTGGTTCAGAAATATAAGTTGTACCTGCTAACTAAGACATAATTTCAAGTTAAAAATACATCAAGAATATTACCAAAAAATATTAAATTTGAAAGACTTGAATTTTATCAAAACTTTGAATGCAATCCTCCAACTGTATCAGAAACCGGTAATAAACTTTAAATTGAAATATTCATTTATTAAGTGTATTCAAGAAAATGTAAAATAAAAATTGTATGATTTGTGTTTTAATGACTAGTACATAAATATATTTTTGCTATATTATGTAAATACTTTTTTTATATCTGGATAATAGTAGCTAGAAGTTTGTCTGGCTTCATATAACTGAGTGAGGCAGTAAAAAAAAAGTCTCATAAAACAAGAAAGTTTGTATATACTTGTAAAACCAAGAATAAAATCATCAGGAAATTTCATGATGATAGACAATAAACACTATAAATGGCATTGGCATAATAAACATAAACTAAGTAATTCAACATTTCATTGCTTTAGCTTTAAGAGTGTTGCATGCTGAACACGACTGAAGCTGTTTTATTGGTAAGAACATCAAATATTGTAAGAGTATTAAACAGTGCAAAGTGTGAATTATACTACCTCAGCTGAGCCAACTTTAAGCTCTTATGTTACAATTTTCTATTGCTAGAAATTACTTTGTAGCTGTTTCTACAGCATGCACTATTCTAATAAAGAGACAAAACAAAAAATATGTTCTTTTTTAAACAAAGCCTCTATTTGTGATCATTACATAATCTTGTAGAGAAAATTCTCAGTGCTTTTAAATTATAGAGAACACTTTGAATACTTACAACTACAGCCTTCGATCAAGTCATTGGGATCACCTGTCATTCCCTCATTACATTTACAAACTCCATCAGTACAGGTCGCTGCAGGACCACATACCACATTTTGACAGACATCTAAAATTTTTAATTAAAATAATTATGTATTCATTTCAATCCTGCAGGAAATATTCTTCTGATCATCTTATTTATTTAAGAATTTAATAACGTTCAAATAAACTCATTAATATCTTAATTTTAAGACATTTAGTTAGACAATATGCAAGTACAAAAATATTCAAATTTAATGCCAATGTTCCATAAATAATACTTATAATCAAACTGAAAGCACAAATAACAATTTGTCACATGTAACTGATCAACTCATCTTCACTATTTTAAGTTTTATAAAATACTGTCTAATATTTCATTTATTCATAAAAATTAATCAAGCCCTGATGAAGACAGGTTCTAAACATCATGATTAACTGAACTGGTGGGTAGCAGTGGTCATCTTAACACTGATGTCCATCTGATTAGGTGGTAAATCAAACCACCTACACAGTATATGCTGCTGGCTGGAGGATAGCCAGTGTGATATGTAAGGGTGGTCTGATGATGGTGAGTTGGGTGATGTGAATATAATTGACTGTAGCAGTCAGAAAAGTGTGATATTTGCTTAGAATATGAGACTTGGGTGTTCAGTTAGGTGAGTATTGGTCTCAAAGTACTATTGAGAACCAAGAATCCATCCAGATTCATTATAGCATAATAGTAAAACACAGCTCTAATAGCCCTTCTGTTTTTTTAATGCTAGTAGATTTAGTGTTGATAAATGTTTAACACTATAACAGGTTTTAATGTCCTAGTCAATTTACATTTTAGTACTGCAATGTAACAATATCTAACCAAACAGAAACATCCATTTCAAATGTTAAAGGGATTTATCAAACCCTGCAAAATATAAATTATATTTTAAAGGGTCTTTGTTATTATTTTTTAGGATTCAATATATTATTACTTGGCTACTTTTTTTATGCCTACCTATACATTTCTTCACTCCATTTTCGCCTTGTTTACAAGCAAAATTTGCCGAACAAACATCATCATCTTCACATTCATTTAGTTCTACAGCTGAAAAAACAAAATAACGTTTTTCAAGAAAATGAAAAATAATGATCTCTTTGACAATGCTATTATTCAACACTTACCAAAGAAATATGTTGACCTGTTTATTAAAAAATGATGATTTTATATGTATGTTAGAGATTAATTTTCTTTTTCACCAAAGATACAATTGAAAAGCGAATCTGTGACATAGATCTGCAGTTTCACCTATTCATGGCTCATTAGCACAGTTTGGGTCAGCAAATCAAAGAGATACAGTTAAGCTTCTTATAATACCTATGGGGTTTTTGGGTCCTTTTACACAAAATGGAAGTCCATAGCAGAGGGTACAGCCAATCAAGGAATGCTTTAGGCCTCTATATAACAGACTATCTTTTCATTTTACCTTCAGTGAAAAAAAGAAATTTGTAACATACTTACATATATATATATATTATCATGGAACATTTGGTCAACTGTATATTATCAAACAATGAATTAGGTACAATGTTCTAACTTTATTCACACATCTAAATTAATTTAGGCTACTGTAAGGTGATTTATTAGGACTCTATAGGTAAAATAATGGTTCGACAATAAGGACTCATATATTTTCAGCCTTAAATGCACTGGTTCATATTCAAGTTTGGATGAAATAGTTTAATATATATATATATATATATACACTCAGATATATATATAGATATAGGTATACTCCTTGATCTGAAGTGTTTTCCCATCCAAACTACATCCCCATTATCTTAATGCACTGGTTGTCTACAAGCATTTCACATGTTCAAGCATATAGTTTGACAGAAGACTGTTTTCTTTGCTGTAGTTGCATGTTTCAAAAGTTATAATTGTTGAACCTACGTACACTCATTTTCATCAAGGATAATTATATCCACATATAAATAATATGTGATCGTTTTATAGCACATATCCTGTCTAAAAAATTCTAAATTCTTAGTTATTATGTGCAAGTAATTCTCTCATCACCTGTGGATAATATTTTCTTATAACTTTCATTTAAGCTACTAGTGTGTTTGGTTAGATATGCAAGAATGAGGATCAGCATCCAATGTGGCACTTTGTAAATGACACCATTTATTCAACTAGGACTGGATGGATGGGCAGTGATCCTGACACTGATTTACTCATGATAATCCATGAGTTGGTACAGTCTGGTATGGGCCTTATTTATGAAACAAGAGAAACCCTCTAGTAGTCTTGTGAGCATTATAGACCTGTATGTATACCCTGAACAGACACCAGTCACAACTGAGCAGGATCCAATGATGTAGAAATAGGTCACTGTAAGGGTAAGATATATAAAAAAGAAAACTTACCCATTTAGAGCTGGTAAGGAGTATGTAGAATGGCAACAGGAGGAAGTTGATATCTGAATAAAGAAGAGACAGCCAAAAGATGAAGAAAACGTGCAACGAAAGTAAGTGGGGTAGTCCACATGGCAGTTTGCATAACAGAAGGGAAGAGCTAAACAGAGAGGGTAAGGTGTCAGATATGGTGAGGAAACTCAAAGGGGTAGATGTGAAGCTACATCCAAAGAAGCATAGGCTAAATGAATGAGATGCTGTAGCCATCCCTTGAGAGTAATAGGAAAATTATCTCCGAGAGATGAGAAATTCCAAACAATAAAGAGATGGGAAAATGAACCACGAGAAGGTGCAGAACAGGCCAAAGAACAATAAACAACATGGACGGGACAGAGAAAACAATTCAGAACAGAAGGAGAATAATATTGAGAAATGGAAGGAAAAGGTATAGGAAGCAAATATGGTATACATAACATATATCCAATGGCAAAACGTAAAAAGTAGAACAGAAACACAAAATGGTACAAAAAACAAGAGACTAAAGGGTCAAAGAGAGGAAGGGTAGGGGTGTGGATAACAGTATCAGGTCCATCTCAGGAAGGACTGCAAGATAAGGACGAAGGTGGCAAAATGAATAAAGAAAGCATAGAAAGGACAGGAGAGACAAGACAGACATTATAATATTAAGAAACTTGAAAGTATTAGGTATAGCTGCTCAGTAACCAGCTCTGGTTAAAAACAATAAGCCTTATATGAACATCCAACAAAAAAAATTTGGAAAATGAGGGATAGAAGGAAAGGAATAGAAAAATACATGATGCAAAGACCAACTATGAAATGTGTGCTCTTATCATGGATAGACAAGAAGGTAAGAAGAATGAACTGAACAAGAAAGAAGGAAGGCTACATGTAAAAGTCTGGAATATCTTGCAAGTGACTGAACAAAACCCACACATGAAATCAGATGATGACACTGCTGGATGGGAGAGGGAGGAGTGAGGCTGAAGGAGTGTGGAGAATGACAGAGGAAGAGAGGACAGGGGAAGATGCAACAGGGAAAACCATAGCTGAGCTGTCCAGTAAAGAGTTATCAGTAGGACTCAAGATGGAGTGTCTGTAATGAGGGAAACACAAGAAAGAAGATGAATTGGAGGGTTTGCAAGGAGGAAAAATGTTGGACCAGTTCTGATGGAATGCATTCCAAGCTGAAGCTGAGGGAAGAGGAACAGGGGACCAGAAAATGGGAATTATGATGTTGAAAAGAGTGGCAAAAAACATTGAGAAGATGGGTGCCCAGATGATAGCACAGCAAGTTGAACACCACAGAAACGAGACCAATCTGTAGGTATTATCTTTGCGGGCCTCGAGAGATAATTCAAGCTATTAAACATACTAGTATACAATGTGACCATAAAAGGAGGGCAATACTGTCAAAACAGGGAGAGTGAAACAAAGTGTCTCCTTGGTGATTGATAAAGGAGACAACTGCAGAGTTGACCATATGTATCATCAAGACACGTCTGCAAATTGTCCTAAAAAACATCCAAAATTCGATGTACCACCAAATGTTCCAAGAGCTGGATTTAAGGGGACAATATGTCGTGGTATCAATGACCTGAATTCACGTGACAGTTGAAACATGCCCCCCCACATCTCATCAAGCTGGGATCTGGAAACAGAAGCAGATCTGGATGAGGAATATCCACTATGGTGTAGTTGTATCAAGTCACCAGGTGACATCTTTGAGTAAGGAAGGAGGAAGGAGAATGGTTGAGGACATGGGATTCCAAGCAAGGATCCATAGACATCACAAGTGAGCATGATGGATGAGGATACAGTATTCCATGGAAGCCCAAGATCTTAAAAGAGAGAGAGAATCTCCCACACTGTGAGGGAAGGAGAAGATATAGCATGGGAAACCACTTGCTTCATGTCCCTGAAAAGATGAGTAGAAGGCTGGGCCCTGTGGACATGTGAACTAAAAAACACCCAAATGAATTAGAAATAAAATGGGTGTGAGATGTGACTCCTCCAAGATGAACCAATCTAGATATATCTCCTCCCAAAGGAGGAGAAGAGGGTTGCTGTAGGAGGCTTGTTGGGACAGAGCCACATGAGAAAAGAAGCATTTGAAATATCCACCTCAGTCATCTCAAGACCTGGGGCAAAAGATCACTGTAAGATGAGAAATTTCTAATGGGAAAGTGAGAGAAGAAGAGAAACCAACTGAGACATAAAATATGTAAGAATCGATACCTATCAACAGATTTCCTAGGATCCACGAAAAGATGGGGAAAAAAACCTGGAAAACAATGGGATTTTAGCCATTAGGACCAACACTGGCATGGATAAATGTTGGCAAGAAACATGATTCCTTGTAAAATAATGGAAACAGGAGACAATGGTGGAGGAGGGGAAAAATACGAAGGTTAAGGGTCTCTGACAGAAATCCCAGTACTCAACAATTCGCTGCAAATGGTGGGCAAAGGTCCATAAACTAAACAAAATGGGCCATAATGACCCTGAACATACAGGACATTTATTGCCAATAGTGATAGCACCAAAGTCTATGATCAGTGGAAGGGCAGATGGGAAGGGGAATGGAAAATGGTGACAGAGAGAGAAGATGAAGTAGGAGGACAAGAGACAGAAAGAGGCAAAGAAGAAGCATGGGAGAGATGGTAAACCAGTGAGGATAAGGCATAAAATTGGCATTTGGCCCCACCATATGACACCAGAGATATAAGTATACCAGTAAAATCATACAGACAAAAGCAATAGAGTAACAAGGGCATCATGCCCCAGCCAACTCTAGCAAAAGATTAACCAAATAAGAAGTGAAAATGCCGAGGAAAATAAACATGATGAGCATCCATCAAAAACCTCACAGGGGAATTGTGGATTACCACAGAGAGAAGGTTAAAGAGGAAAAATAATGGAAAAGGGTAGTGTGTGTGAGACAAAGGTAGGAAAACCTAAGCCTAAAAAAAGAGAGAGGATCTGACTCCAAATCTGAAGAAAATACTCCAGAGTTTAATACAGCACAAAGTCATGCCTAGTCATATGAGGTAACAAAGGAAGAAGAGCAAAGTATGTATGCCCCAAATTAATGGTAAAAATAATTGAATATATAAAAAACATACCTGAGAAACCAAGTCAAGAAATCACAAAAAGAGTCTGAGGTAGAATTAAGACAATATGGGTAAAGGATGAGGTAAAGGTAAGTGGGAAAAGCCAGCAAAATCTCTTCAGTCATGAACGAGAAATGTAGGCAGAGGTATGTCAAGGACAAAAGAAGACTCAGGCTGCATGAAAGACTCTATCACCACTCTGAACAAAAGCTGTCACCTCTCCCAACAGATAAAGACAAACCCAATGCAATTATAGTTGGTAGGCTAGCGTGAACAAAGTTGTGTTGTTTCACACCAAACAAAGAGAAAGTTATTGACATTGTGAAACAATATCTTTGTAGATACTTCCACCAAAAAACACCTATATCTTAAAAGTTCACAAGCAAAAACATACACGTTGTTACACAAAAGTGCCAAAATGAGAAGTAATGATTGTTCTCTACAGTAGAGAGGTAGTCAGCTGCATTATGAGGGTTTATCACACTCCTATTGGTGGAGGGTTGTTGCATGCTCATTTTCATGCTACAATGCAACTATATCACATGTAAACACGTGATGTTAGGTGAGATCCTCAAAGCTAATAGTGAGCGAAAATTGCGCATATCGAAAGCAACGCAAATCAAGGAAAGCAATTATGTGAGCGGAGGTAAGGTATTGTATCGGAAAGTATTTTTGGGATAAAAGTCAACTTCAAACCTTTTATTTTTGTTTCTAATCTTAGTGTTTAAAAAAGGAAGTTCTGAAATCACTTGGTCTTCTACTGTGTATTTAATGCATTCATGTTTTGGTTGAGATAATCAAAAAATAACTTAACATGGGACTACTCTTCAAACACTATGTAAGTAGCATCAACATCTCTTTCGCAAATCAGAGTTTGTATTTATCCAGTCATTCCTTTAACCATAACTTTTTATTTTCATATACATGTAAGCTGGGAATTAATCTTGACCCCAGAGCAACACCATTAGTCTGATCATAAAATTAACCATTGGAAATGAAACTTAACTGCTTGGTAGCAATCTCAAGAAAATTGTGAAATGTGTACTTAGTCAAAACACCAATTATACAGTTAAGAACAGTCTTAAATTTTCTCCATTTGATAATAATAGTTTCCTGTGCTAGCTTTGACTAACAACTTTATATACAAGCATTTTAGTTAATGAAGTAATAAAACTAATGTGTGACTTTGTTTATACAAATGAACCAAAGATTATTGGTTTCACTAATATATATTTCACAAGTTACTTCACAGTCAAGTATCGTTTTCAATAGTGAATTTTATTATCACTAATAACTGAAAGAAAATAGTAATAAAATATTATCCACAGGCTGACATAAGTAATATTTTGAAACCACATCTTAGACTTAAAATTTTTTTTAGATTTTAGAGTTAAGAGCAGAATTCCTGCTCTAAAATGATCACATATTATTTATATATGTATAACTTACCTCAGTGTGAACGAGATAATATAGTTTCAACAGTAAGAACCTTTGAAACATGCATTAAGTAACACAAAACATCAGAAAAGGAAACAAAGTATTCTGTTTAGTTACATGCTCAGTCATGTGGAATGCTAGCAGACAACTAACACTTTAAGATAATAGGACATGTGCATAAAATATTTAATTTGTGTGCATCTATTCTGTTGAAGAAAAAAGCTTTTTTATTTCCTTGTACCTACTACTATTTTTTATTTTTAATGGACACACAGACTCTTTTATTATAAATGAAATTTGCTTCTTTTTTGTTTGAATAAAACACTCAGTAAAAAGCACTGAAAGCAATCTAAAACAAAGACTATACATAGAATCAGTAATCTAAAAGTAGTCCTTTCTTTATCACAAGTAAATATAATTTTTATTGATATAAGGATCAGTAGTCTAAAACTTTTCTTTATCAAAAGTAAATATAATTTTTATTGCTATTTTATTTTATTTAACCCCTTCAAACACACAAAAGCTCACATCCAAGCAAAGATATTGGGTTTAGTTATTCATTCACTAATATTTGTAAAATACAATACCATTAAAGTGCTCTTAAGTCTTTGTAGCATCAGGATAATTTTATGTATTAAGAAATTGTTTTTCAATTATTTCACATGATTACTATTATTCAACCTTTATAAGCACACAAAATATTGTATCCAAGCATACGCATTCCTATGCAATATTATATTACATGGATAGATTATTATTAAACTGTTGATAGTGACTTAAAAACTAATTGTTTCACTACATATTCTTTCATAGTTAAATTCACTTTAGAATAAGTTTCAGTGTTTCAACAGAAATCTTAAGTAAACAGACCATCAGAAACACCAGTTGGATAGAATTTTGTAATAACACCATAACTTACTACATTCTAAGAGGGGGTTTCCAATGGTTCCAGTAGGGCAGACACATAGAAAACTTCCAATGGTGTTGATACAAGCTGCTCCTATACCACAAGGTGATGGAGGTAGGAGACATTCATCCACATCTACAGGAGAACAAATTTATCTGTTTAGTAGAAAACATTTTCTTTAAATATAAGTATTATTATTCCCATATTTTCCATTTATTTAAGAATTGAAACAAGGTTGAATAAGTTTAATACACATGTGCATACCTAAGCATTCCAGAAAAGGATTTCCTTGAAGTCCAGCTGGGCAAAAACAATCTGCTCCACTAGGTCCTGTTACACACTGGGCACCAAGTCCACATTTAGTGTTAGTACATTTCTGTGAAGGACCTGGAACAAAAATCAGTATGATCTTTTTGTATATCACTAAAATGTGTAACAGACTAAAACTCTGAATAGAAATCTGCCATGATGGTACATACAAACAATGAGAAAAGAAAGCATCAGGAAGCAGCAAAACAATAAAACGTTTAAGATGGATGAAAATTTTCAAATTGAAGAGTAAACGTATGTAAAAAAGAAAGTGAGATAAATGATTAAAATGCTAAAACTAGCACTGATACTGTTAGATAACAGCACTGATATATTAAATATATCAAAATTTAAATACTGAGAGGGAGTGGTTAGAAAGTTACATGCACAACATGCATGCTATAACACAGGGCTTTTTTTGAGACGGTATGCACCGGTACTGCATACCGGCACCATTTTTCATATTGCAAAATGGAAAGAAAGGTGACAAAACTTGAAAGAGTAATGTAAATTAATGTGTAAATTTTTCCCTTTGAACAAATCTTTTGTTCACAAGAAGAAAAAAGAGACACTGAACTAGAAGTGTTACAAATGACAAATTTAAAGGAGTGTAAAAACATATTGTTTATTTGATCATGTATGTGTGATCATCAGTGCTGTATGAGGTGTGAAGCATCAGGTAGGATTAGCGTGCCATTAATAGGGAACACCTGGTTTTAACACCTACAAGATGTGGCCACTATCAGTGGATGTATGGTAGTGGCCTCACTTTGATTGACAGGTTTCAATTGGGCAGTGGCAGGTGAGAGCCAGCCTGGGTGGACACAATACTGAGTTCAAAGAGATCGCTTAGAACTGGGGAACAGGTGACCACAAGCCGAGTTGACTGATAGTGGACAACTGATATCATTAATCACACAGCACCTTCACAGCCTAAATACAAATATGCATGCGAGTCTCAGAAATAAGTTGTTTTGGTCTGACATGCTCAGTCGAGGTGGTGATGTTAATTTGAGCAGGTGTGCATTTCTCTTCTGTTATGATTTTATTTTATTGTTACTGGGAGAGTATATCATTTTTATTGAGTCTTGAGAAAACATCCCAACATAAAAATGAAACGAATTACAAGTTTCTTTTCACCTTCTGTGAATAGGAAAGCTAGAACAAGTGAGGAAAATGACTTAAGAAAAAGAATTAATGGCATCAGTGACAGTTTCTGTTCTTGGTCCATCCAGTGTCCACGAGCTATCTGACAACGACTGGCCTAGCTGCTGGACTGCCGATCAAAAATTATTTTTGTAGGAAGTATGATTGGCTAAATATTGGAAAAAAGAAACTTGGCTATACACCTTGCCATAAGGTTGGAACTTTTGGAGTGGAAACGAAGGCAGGAATGAAAGTTCATAAAGAATGGGCCAACAATGAAATAACTTATTTTGGTAAAAGAAAGTCGACAGCAACAGCTTCTATCTTTGCAGAAAAACTTTTAGATCACAAGGAAACCGTGGGACATAAAGCTGCAGTAAAATTGTTGGCTGAAGCTGAGAAAGAGATCATTGAAAATGTGTTTGAAAGCTTTATCTTGCAAAAAAGTCATTACTGCAAGATTTTTTTTTTTTTTTGCACAGCATATAAGGTAGCAAAAGAAAACCAATCATTTCATAATTTTGAATCTGAAATAAATTTACAACTAAATGGAATTGACATGGGCCGTATCCTTCACTGAATGAACGCATGTATTAACATCATGAATCACATTAGTAATGAAATGAAAAAAATATTAATTAATATAGTTACTAAATCTAAAAGTAGAATTTCATTGATAATCAACGAGTCAACTTCTTTGAGTAAAAAATCTACCTTAACAGTGTATGTTCGAATCTGTTTCCCAGATAATGGAATGAACTTGCCAGTAAATTTATTTTTGGACTTGTTCAAACTTGAGAATGTTACTGCAAAAGGAATTTTTGATTCTTTACTCAATTGCCTTCAGTCTTATGGAATGAATGAAGACTACCTGAAAAGTTATTTATCTTATGTGGCATGTGATGGTGCAGCCATGATGTTGGGGAGTAAAAGTGGAGTTAAGAAACTGATGAAAGACAAATTTCCTTCTGTAATTGTGTAGCAATGTGCTACAGATTAGAACTGTCGGTCAGTGACACTTAAATTCAGTCTCAAGGATCAACAGATTTAAAGTGTTTATTGATAAACTTTATGTTTTGTATCATACGTTGCCAAGAAATAGCAGAGAACTGAAATTGTGTGTAAACTTGCTGGAGATTCAACTTTTAAAAGTTTAAAAATTTTAAATACTCGATGGGTGGCATCTAGTTTTCAGTCAGTTTCAACTACTTGGGAAAACTACGAAGCATTAGTGCAACATTTTGAAGAAGTGAAGCATGATTCAATAAGAGACAAAAAAGAGCAATGTGTATATGAGAGCGTATAGCAAAAAATTACAAGCACAGAATTTCTATTGGACCTAGGATTGATGTGTGATGCTCTCCAAGAATATCTGAATTGAGTTTAGACTTAAAAGAGCGAGATATAGACTTGTAAAAATTTTTTAATAAAGAGAAATTATTCCAGCCCCATATTATGAAAATTCTGTCAATGCCGCCAAAGATCTTCACTTTTGGGGAGTTTCGCTTCACAACAAAGATTGCAAAAAAAGATCTTCCGATTAATCCAGAAGCTTTTTACAGAACCTTGGAAAAAATTGATCGAAAATAGGTTGCTTGATAGTGAAGATGGCGATAATGCACAGTGTACATGCATGCTTGATAAAAAACATTGGCCTGAAAACATTGATGCTCATCTAACATTCGGTGAGATAGAGGTCAGAAAATTATCAATAAGACTAAGCTAAATGAAAGAAATATAATTTGTGGATTTCATCAGTATTTGGTGGAAAAGACGATTTCAGAAAAATTGCAGCATTTGAAACACGTTCTGATTACTATTACCATTTCTTCCAGTGAATGTGAACGAGGTTTTTGCAGATGTATTTGATTATCACCTCAACCAGAGCTTCATTGACGACAAAAACCGTTTTGGCACTTTTGTTTGTTAAACTTGTTGGACCACCCCTTCCATGCTTTGACCAAAAAAATAAGTAGAGCTATGATTGCTCAAAAAAAAAACACGTCATTCAGCAGTAGACACCAAAAGCAAGGAATGAAGTTGGGATATTGTGTCAGATGAGAACACGATGAAAATTTGGAATTTTCTATAAAAAGGTAATTCGGTATGTTTCATCTTTTAATTTCTTATATATATATATGTGTGAACCAGTACATATTGTTTTACAAAAAAAAAAATACTGCTAAAACAGATTTAAATTTGTAAAATCAAAATGTTTAAAATGGTTATTTTTTATCATTAGAATTTCACTGTATAAAAAGTGTTATGCAACTTACCACACTGTTCATAAGGGTTGCCACTGTAGCCAGTGTTGCATACACATTTGTTTGGGGCACCATACTGACAATAAGCATTAGTACCACACGATGGAGTACATATTGGAAAAGAAGTTGCTATAAAATGTATAAAAATGAGGAGAAACACTGTCAATATAAATTGTTACAACTAAAAACCTAAAAACTTATAAGTATTCATTGACAGGCTTTAAGAAGTATCAACACATACTAATGGATTACATAAATCAAACTTTAAAAAAAACAAATTCAGAGATTCACTAAATATGTTACATGAGTTAATTAAGTCATCTTTATCTGTTTCATTTGGAAATGTACCACAGAAATTATACAACTACAAAATGTTCCTAATGCTATTCTTTTGTAAATACACTTTATAACTGATAATTAAAGAATTTTTACACTAATTCCTTAACCCTTTTGAGACAAGCACAGGTGAAAGGCCAAGTCATCTCATTTTCAAAATTGTATTGAACTACTATTTCATGAATTTATGTCAATAACTTTGGTATCAAATTGTAGATTATAATTCATATTTTAGAACTATATATTACTCATTTGCTTAATTTAAAAGCAAATATTAAAAAAACACAGATAAAAATTAATTTTTGCATGTTGTGTGGTATGTTAATGCAGCACTGGTTCAAATTAAATTATTGTGAAGTCTATAGTTTGGAATGAATTAAAACCTCAAATTACTAATATTGACAAGCTAGAATATAAAATAAGAATGTATTATCTTTTCTATTTGCTAAGATCTTGCTCATGTAAGAAATCAAACACAGTGGCACCCCACCCACCTCTTTCCATTTTTGGAAATACTCCCTTATATACACTTACTTCTATGTATGATATGAATAACCAATTGGAAGCTCAGAATGTCCCCCTAGTGGCTTTCTCAGCCATTTTAACGGACTTGGTGCCATTTCTTACCTTTAACCAATATTTCAACGAGGTAGGGTGTGTCTTTAGTCTGCTCGAAATTTCATATTTTGTCAGACTAAAATACATCTTAGTTACTAAGCTTGATAAATTATAGTGGAATTCTATTATATTAATGCAGTAATTTATGATTTTTTAGTTATTCAAATGTATATATAAAACCTAAAAAAAATATTTTGTTTCATATCCTCCACATGCAAAATATTTAAAGGCTTAGCAACCTACGTCAAGCAGCAACCGAGTACAAAGGTCGTAACAAGAATAGATAATTGTCTGCATTACTTGCTTGGTTACTGTTCTATGTTTAAGGAAAAATATATTTAAGAACTTATTTCAAAAT